TGGGATTTTGGAAATTCACGTGATTTTACTGAAACTTCACAGAAATTTTGGAAATCGAAGTGATTTGGGATGAAAATTGAAAATTTTGAAAATCGCTCTTTCTTATATTATCACCAATATTTTATTAGTTGATAAAATTTTGATTTCTTACACAGAAACAGAGATAATTGAGCTTAAAGTACACGGGCTTCTATTGGAGCATTTACGAGAATGCAGTAAATTTCGAATCATTTTTTCTCGGCTTCTATGAAAGATATTGAAAAATTGTCAACTGATTAAATTTTGGTCATTTTACGAAAAACGTTTTATCAGTTGACAACATTTTGATATCTTTCATAGGAAACGAGATAATGCAGCTCAAAGTGCACGGTAATATTTCGGTTGTCGTTCCTCAGTTTCATACTATTCTTTCTGAAAGAGTCACATTAAGCTTTTCAAAAATTCTGACATCATTTATTTATCATTAGAATAATGTTTACTTTAAAAGAAATGGTATGATCAATCACTTCGTGTCTTTCTTATTTTCAGTATGAACCATCAGGAATGCTCCAAACGCATGAATTGTCTGATCTCCGTTCCAGGAACTGATAAAGTTATCTTGAACACACACTCGAGATCCTCCTGGCTGTTTCTGGCATCAGCTTCATCTTCAGCTCCTGCGGACCCAGGCTCCTGGTTCCTGGTTCCAGGATCCACCTTATTTCTCTATTTTCAGTCTGAACCATCGGGAACTACTCAAAATGATCTTGTTTCTTGTAGATCATCTCACTGATTGAATTGTCTGATTTCAGTTCCAGGAATTGATAAGATTATCTTGAATTTCACAGCAGATTTCCTCGGAACACCGTTTCTAGATCCTCCACCAGCATTTCATCTTGCTCCTGATCTAGTTTCTCCTCTATTGAATGCTTCTAGCTCTAGCTCCAGGACCTGAGATCCAGCATCCGGGGTCCAGGAACCCGGGCTCCAGTACCCGGAATCCAGAACCTGGCTCCAGCACCCAGGCTCCAGGTCCCGGGCTCCAGAACCCAGGCTTTAGGACCCAGGTCCCTCACCCTTCTCTGGAGCCCAGAGAAGGGAGAATTGATTCTTGTCTCCGCTTTCCTCTTCATTTTGAGTGTTCTTCCTGAGGTCAATGGGCCACCGAGGGTCGTGGGCTTTTTACGCCGCTTTTTAGGGGAGAATTGACATTTTTCTGAAACTTTTTTGGCACGCTGATTTTTTAATAAAAAAATTTGATTTTTTCATCACGTTTAAATAACTCTTGAATTTAGATTTTTTAACTTCTGTGAAACTCTTTTTAAAAATATTGTCCCTTTAAACCTAATTATGTCGTTTCCTGTTTGAGATATCAAAAAATTGTCAACTAATGAAATTTTTCTGACATCAAGGCAAAGATTTTTGCTGTTAACACTTTTTCGATTTCTTCTACAGGAACCGAGAAAAAATTGATCAAAGTTGACTAGATCCCAAACTCTAACTCTTCAAGTTTGAGCCGATCTCTCTCGATTCCTGTAAAAGGTATCAAAAAGTGGTAAACTGACAATATGCTTATCATAATATCACCAGTGATCATTCTATTAGAGTGTTTACGGTATGACAAAACTCTAAAGTTTCGAAATCAATACAGAAATTATAAATTTTGACAATTTCGCGATTTTTTATCACTTTCAAAAAAAGACAATATTTGTATTTCCTTTGCATCTTTTCCCCCTCCAATTTTGTCTACCTATTTCGCAAGTTGGTCTTCTTTCCTTTCTTTCTTTTTCAAGTTCTCAACTTCTCGTGCTGAAATGGAAAACATTCTGAAAAAATATAATTTTCAAGAAAGGTAAGTCTCTCGAATTGCAAAGGTGCTCTAATCCCGACACTTTCTTTTCAGGCGACCCTTGCAAAATGCATTATCCTACTTTCGCAGCTTTTTCATGGACTCAGAATTCGATTTGAAGTTGATTGCACTCAGTGTTCATGACCAATATATTTTGATTGCCTATGAAACGTCTTCTAAAAATGAATACAACTTCATGTATAGGAATCGAAAAACAAGTTGTGAAGTTTCGTGCGGTGAAAAAGAAGTGAATTTGGAAAATTCGGATTTTGTGGAGGTTTTTCTCAATGATTTCAAAATTATTCTGAGTCATCAAAATTCAATTCTGGACACTTTTTGGTTGGCCACAAGGGAAAATGCAACAAATCATTATACAAGGATTCTGGAAGCTACAAAAAATATTCTGGATTCGAGAGGAGAAAAATTGAAAGTAGCCGGTTTGCAGTTGGATTTGCTCGGTCAAAATCCAATCCATTTGATTCTCCCATGTCTGGATTTCAATGTTTTGAAGTCCGTCCGTGTGAATGATCCAACTTCTCATGGCAATTTTTGTCGAATTGAAATCGAGGAAAATTCGGAATCCAATTTATTAGAAATATTAGAAGAGGCTGGAAAGTCACTTTCAATTCTCATGAATTCTTCCGAATTTACCGTAAAACCTGCCATAGCAGGGCTCCTCTAACGGTCAACTTTGAAACTATATATCTCGTTTTCTGTAAGAGATATCAAAAAGTAATAAACTAACAAAATATTTTTGATATTATGATAAACATTTTGTCAGTTGACCGTTTTTTGATACCCTTTTTTGGAACCGAGATAATTGAGCTCAAAGTGCACACAAGGGTTGGGCTTCTTTATAGCATTTACGGTACCAACTTTAAGCTGATTTTTCTAGTCTCCTGTGAAAGATATCAACAAGTGGTCCATTAACAAAATATTTGTGATATTATAATAAACATTTTATCAGTTTACTACTTTTTGATATCTTGCAAACAAATTGAGATAATTGGACGCAAACTTGATAGTATGTTGTAGGGTCCCACCTTTGACTCAGATTATCACTGCTCCTGTGAGAGATATCAAACAGTGAACAACTAACAAAATGTGGATGATATTATGATAAACATTTTGTCAGTTGGTCACTTCTTGAGATCTCTTACAGGAACGGAAATAAAACACATCAAAGTTGACAGGGCCCTTCTATTACAGGTTTTTGTTTTTTCCTCTTTCAAATTTACTGAGAATTCAATCATAAATTTACTCTTCTTTTACAATTTTGAAGCTCTGCCTTTTTCCTGTAATCGATTTTTTCCCTTTCTTTTTGAATACCATCCCCTCCCGTCTTTTTCTCTGCGTCTCTCAACATCTAACGCTCTCTCTGTCTTTGCCTGTGCGGACCATTGGAACAATTACCTCAACAATCTTTCTAGATGAAGTTTTTGGAAGAGTTGCTGAGAATTTTGGGACCTTCAGAACTCAAAAAATCCAAGAAAAGTAAAGGATTTCCAGTACTAAAACTTCCGATAGTGGTTTTGGAAATGGTTTTGAAGCAATTGGATCCTGTGGAACGGTGAGTTTATTTTTTTTTAATTTCCTAATTTAAATTTTCTTAGTTTTCCAGATTCAAGTTCTCCGTTCTCTCAAAACACACAAACCATTTATGCATCAAGTACACCTCAAAGGGCTCCGATCGAATTATTGGAATCACTTGGCCGCCGGGCTTATCGATTCTTTGTGAAGATGAGAAACTTGTCACATTTGGTTTTCAAGAGAAATCGAATCGGACCAATAGCATCATGGACCAAAATGTTGACTCAAATGCCACGTGTCATTCAAAAGGAGGAGAGGATTATGTTGTGTATAGTGAGAACCCACTGGAACAAGCGATGAAATGGGCCAAACATTTCAATGATATCTTTCAATTTAACCATATTCTAGTCCAAATTAATCTATCTGAAATGGTCGACGACTTTTTCGAAATTTACAAAACATTGATGGGACCACGGGTGACACATCTTAAACTATCTGGAACATCAGCGGATTGTGGACAACTTCTGGAGCTATTAACCTCCGTTCAAATCGAAGTTTTGCTAATCCGCACTTCGATTTCCGGAAATTTGAATGATTTCAAAAATTTTCCATATCGATTGCCTGTTTTACGATGGGAGAAACCCGATGGGATCACTATCGAGAACATTTTGAATATGGATTGTGACTTTTCGGATCTACGAGACTCCAAATTTACTGATGAGGAGCTGAATATGATTTTTCATGAATGGAGAAGTTCTGGAAACAATGTGAAGCTGAAATCATTATCTATAAAAAGGAATTACATCCGAGAAAATGTGAATTATGATGTGATCTACCAAGGGATGGAAAACGAGAATCAGGATCTAATGTTGAAACGGATATTCGTTTGGTTAGTGCACTTTGAGCCAATTTATCTCATTACCTGTGAAAGATAGGAAAAAGTTATTAACTGATAAATTGATTATCACAATGTTATCAACATTTCATCAGTTGACAAAATTTGATATATATCATAGAAATCCAGATAATTCGGCTCGAAGTTTACCGTGTGTGGGGGGGGGGGGCCTTAAAAACTGAAAACTGTAATTTCAGGAGAAATGAAGCCGGAAATGAATGTGAGCTGATACTTCAAGGAGGATTCGATGTCACGAGAGATGATGGAAAAACGCTGACCTGCTTCACAATGGTTCCACGAGATCAGGATCTGGAGGATCTGAATTGGCATTCTATTAATTTTCATGTATGGGATAAATGATTATGTAGTTTTGGTTGGTAAATATCAGTGATGGGAGGAATTTCCGTTTCCGTTTTCCGTTTTCCGCCCGGTTTTCAGAGATTTTTTCCGTTTCCGTTTCCGCGGAAAAACAAAATTCCCGTTTCCGTAAAAGTAAAATTACATTTTTGTTTCTGTTTCCGTTTTCCGGAAAAACCGCCATTTTTTATAGCGGAAACGGAAAAAAAATGTAAAAAACAACGAAAACATCAAACTGAAACTGGCTTGAAAAAAAGCATGGAAAGTGATGCAAATAAGGTCGATTTCCGTTCCCGTTTCCGTTTTAGCTGTCCGTTTTCCGTTTTCCGCCCGATTTTTGAAGATTTTTTCCGTTTCCGTTTCCGTTTCCGTAAAAGTGAAATTTCTTTTCCGTTTCCGTTTCCGTTTTTCGTATTTCGGAAAAATGCGTTTCCTCCCATCACTGGTAAATATAATTTTTTATTTATTTAATGATAATATTGAAGAGAGTCTGAAGTATCACACAAAAAACAATTACTTGAAAACCTGTAAAAGAAAAGCCTTTCACTTTTAACTTTGAGCCAATTTATCTCGGTTCCTAGGAGAGATATCAAAAAGTGGTCAGCTGATAAAATATTGATGATGATATGATGAATAACTTATCAGTTGACCAATTTTTGTTAGCTTTCATAGGAACCGAGATAAATTGGCTCAAAGTTGAAAAATAGAGATCGCGTTCTTTAAGAGAATTTGCGGTAATTTAAGTTGGATTCTTCGAAGCTCTAGGAAATTTTAAAACATTTTGTTTGATAAGATTGAAAGTCTCCAGGTTTACTAAACAAAAATAGAGCTTTAATTTTGTAGTGGACACATTTTTTGTACAAATTAATCCGTGTGTGACGTACCCCTTAAACTAAATAAGAGCCAAAATTTAAAGCCAGGTCACTTCCAAACGATACATCTCCTATGGATGAATTTGTATAAAAAAGTGGACAATTACAAAATTGAAGCTCTAGTTTTATTTTATATTTTTTGTGAATTTCAAATTGTTCGGAAACCTGCGACCCACTTTTTTTATACCCATGAACTTTGCTATTGATCCCAGAATAAGCTACCGTACGCACTACTTGTCTACTTTGAGCTCAATTATCTTGGTTCTCGTGAGAGATATCCAGAATCTGTCAACTGATAAAATGTTGCTGATATTACGATAAATAATTTATCTGTAGAAATTTTTTTGATATCTCTCATATGAACCTAGATAAATTGGCTCAAAATTCAAAGCTAGTGCTTGGGCTCTATTGGAAGCCCTAAGGTCATTTTTTATAAATTTTTCGTTCACCTCATGCAACAATACAATGCTAACCAAGCCTAATCGCTGTCCAGATGTTGCATAATCCCAATACCACGCAATTATTGCATCAACCTAGCCCATGGACAGTCCTCACAGCCGCCTGGGACCATTTTCCCCTTCCTAGTGTCCAACCAATCGATTCGGTGTGTCCGTTTCAGAAAATCATGTCCCCTGATCTCTGGAAAAGACTAAAAGAGCATTTCATAAAACCCTCAAAACCAGAATTATTTAAAAAATCGTCAGTACCAACTTTTCCAGTGCTAAAACTACCGACTTTAGTGGTGGATATCGTTGTGGCTCATCTGGAACCCACTGAAAGGTAGGTTTTTTTAATTCTCCGTTTTTCAAGATTCTCGATTATATCCCCTAAATTCTAAAATCCAGATTCAACTTCTCCAACCAATCAAAATACACCGCTATTCTCTGCAAACGGACCATTCCAAAGGATCAGAAACTGTCATTGATGTTCAGTTATCCACCGGCTCTATCAATCATGTACAATGCCAGGGAAGCCGTGATATTCAACTTTTATTCAAAATCCATCAGAACAGACAAAGACCAAATGCTTGGCCTTGTTGTCAACCAGACTGTGAACAAAAAGTCAGAATGCGTTTTCAACTTATCCGCGAATCCAAATTGTCCTGATGTGTACCATGTGTTTTGCAAGAAGCCAGTCAAGGAGCAATTCGAATGGGCGAAACACTTGGGAACTTTCTACCATTTTGATAATAACCAATTGAAAGTTTCTTTTTGGAAAATGGATAAGAAATTTAAAACGTTTGTGGAGACATTCAAAACTACTTTCGACTCAACCACATTTCAACTTATCATTGGTGCAGATTGTGTGTTTCAAAAACCATTGGAACATGTTTTTGATAAGCTGATTGTTCAACATGGAACCTGGATTCTTCCACTAATGACGCTTAAGTTAAGAACTCCACGATTGCACTTCTACAGATTAGATGTGTCAACTAATATCGACATCAAGGACATTCGAAGAATGAACTCTGATTATATCGATTTGAGAAACTCAACAATCGATGATGAAGACTTGAATGAGATGCTGGTGGAATGGAAGAATGGACAACTGGAAAACCTGAAGTCGCTATCAATCCGAAGAAACTATAGTTACGATGCGGTGGCGTTCAATGCTCTTTTTGTTGATTTCCTATCATTACCGAAGCCAACATGGGGAAGCGCTCGATACTTTGATTGGTAATTTTTAAATTTCTAAAACAAATTTTCGAAAATAATTCTAAATTTTTTACAGGTTCGACGATGATGGAAAAGAAACGAAGATCCAAATTAATATTGCTTATGACTGCGTCAGAGAGGATGGGAAGGTCCTGACCACCTTCTTTCAGATGCCTCCAGATGATGAAGAACAAACGTGGCATTCTTTGAACTTCCGTGTCACAACTCCAAATGTCTAATTTTTCAGATTATATTTAAGTCAATTTTTATTGAATTTTTACATAATTTTATCAAATAAATGGTTTCTTCGACTATTAGATCATCGAAAAACAAACGAATGTCGCCGCGAAAATATGCGAAAATGTGCATGTTGGCGTTGTTGTGTTTGCACCGGAAACATCAAGCTTGACGACAGTTGTCGCCGCTGTTGCTGGCAAACGGCTTTGTTGCTTTACACACGTGATTTGCGAAGATAATTGGTTTGGATAACTAAAATTTCATCTGAATTCTAAATCTCCAGACCAAATTTAACGATTTTTAGCTATTGAGACTTGAGATTCCTGCCAAAAAAATGCGTTTTTTTGACTTTCGAAAAAAATGTTCTAATTTTTCTATTTGACTGCTTCCTGCTTCTTTTCTCAGCACTCTTTTCGAAATTCAGTTTCCAATGGAACTCGGGAGCATGTATAACATAAATCTTGCTTATCACCCATATTTTTCATCGATTTTTCTCTCCAAAAACCTGTTTCCCCGATCCGGCATTTTCTCTATGGATATCATCATATCACGCCTTCATTGTCTTCAATTGTTTTTTCTTCCCTATACCCATTTTTGAAGAAATATTCGTTTTTTGCAGAAATCATCGTCTAAACATGAGCTCTCAACCGGGAACCGGAACCTCGGAAGTTTCCAAAAAACTCAAGGTATGTGTTTTTTTTCTTCTCAAGAATCTATTACCCTCGAAAAGTTGCAGGCGGCGATTCGCGCGAAGCTAGAAGAGCTCGGTGTCTATGTGGACGATGAATTGCCCGACTACATCATGGTCATGATTGCCAACAAGAAGGAGAAGGTGCAAATGAAGGACGATCTCAACTTGTTCATCGGGAAGAGCACCGCCAAGTTCGTCGATTGGCTGTTTGACCTGTTCGATCGGCTTCAGAATGCGTCTAACAAGCAAGGTGAAAGCAGTAGTAGTAGCAGTGCCAAGAAGGACGAGGAGAAGAAGAAGGAGCAAGAAGCCAAGGAGCGGGAGGAGAAGCGAAGGAAGGAGAAAGAGGAGCGGGAGAGAGAACTGTAAGAGTTTGAAATTTGACGGAATTTTTCTAAATTCAAAATTTTCAGACAAAAAGAAAAAGAGCGAGAGAAGGAGCGTCAACGAGAACGGGATCGTGAGAAGCGACTTGAGGAGGAGAAGCGGCGAGAGGAGAAGAGGAAGGAGGCTTCGAAGCCGAAACGTCGTCGCACTAGAAGCAGATCCAACACCTATTCAGATGATGAGCGTGTTCAAAAGTCACATCACAGAGAGCACAGACGGCCCAGATCAACGGAAAGAAGAAGAGGCAATGCTCTGGATAGTGGCGAGGAGACAAGTCCCAGAAAGCTTCAATCGAAAGTCACCGTTAACAGAAAGATTCCACCGGCTGGAGAGTAAGTTTTTCGGTTTCACAGCTTTTAGTATCTTCTAGTAGCTTCTAGAAGCTTCTAGGAGCTTTTACCTGCTTCTAGTAATCTCTAGGAGCTTCTAGGAGCGTCTTGTAGCTTCTAACAGCCTTTATTAGCTCCTAGTAGATTCTAACAGCTTCTAGTAGCTTCTGGTAGCTCCTAGTAGCTTCTAGTAGCTTCTAGTAGCTTCTAAGAGCTTCTAACAGCGTCTAGTAGCTTCTAGTAGCTTCTGGAAACTACCAGGAGCTTCTAACAGCTCTTAGTAGCTTCTAGTAGTTTCTAGTAGTTTCTAGTAGTTTCTAGTAACTTCAAGCATCTTCTAAAAGCTTCTAGTAGTTTCTAGTACTAGTAAGAACCTTCTAACCATTTTCATTCTCAGCACCAACGTCAGAGGCCGTGGCACAATGTTCCTACGAGCGATGAATGAGGCTAGCGTTAGCGCTGGATATGGAGGCGGTCGTAGAAGTTCTGAAGCTCGTGACGACGATGACATGTCGGATGTAGAGGCTCTTCCTTCGAAATCTTCCACTTCAGTGAAATCTCCGAAAAAGAGCCTTCGCGATAGATTGAGCAGAGTCACTGACAAAGGAGTCGCCGAGCCAATCGAAGACGATGCTGTTGTTCTGGGCAACCAACCGCAGACTGGAGGTCCACAGATGATATTGAAGCTGTCTGGAGGCAGAGAAGCCATCAAGAGAACCAGGATTCAGGATAGAATCGTTATCAATGATGACTCGGTTCGTCGTGGACTCTTGAAGCGAAGAGTGGAGATGCCAGGAAATGCTTCTGAGGAGCCGAAGTCGAAGCATGAAAGAATAAAATTCGACGTTTCTCGAGAGACGACACCTTCTGACGACTCGCCGACGATGCAAAAATGGAATGGACATATCAGAATCGGCGATGATTCTGAAGACGACGACGAGGAAGCTGAAATCGATGCAGTGGTTGCCGAAGCGCGAGGGATAGTCGTCAGAAGAGACAGTGCGATGGAAGAGGAAGAAGAGATTTTACCATCAACACATCAGCTCTCCGGCGCTAGCTTCATTATCCCTGACCCATACCAATCGGCAGTTCCAGCTTATATTCCAACTCCATTGAGTGTTCTCAACGAACAGCAGAATCAAATGGGCGGTCCTAGAGATCATCAAACCAGAGAGCGCTGCATCTTCTGGCCGAAATGTACTAAAAAGGAGGCATGCCCATTCGCTCATCCCACCACCAACTGCAAGAACTTCCCGAATTGCACCTATGGAAACCGTTGTCTCTTCATTCATCCGCAATGCCGTTTCGACCGCTTCTGCACCAAGAAACACTGCCCATTCACTCATCCTGGCACTGGAGGCTATCAACCGGGATCTGGAGCGGCTCCAGACGTTCAGAATCCTCTTACTTCTAATCGTGTGCCAGCAGTTGCTGTCGATGAACCACAACCACAAAAGCCACTTGTCCGTGGAGCTCTAGGAAGTTTGGCAGAGAAATTGGCGGCGTCAATTAAGAAGAAGCCAATGGTTCCGGCGGAGAAGAAGGAAGAAAAGAGCGACGAGAATCAAGCTTCGTCACCAGTCAAGGAGGAGGAGACGGTTATCGATAACAACGAGGTGCCGAAAGAGGATTCTCCTTCAGAAGCGACTTCTAGAGTGGTTCCAGAGTAAGTATTGAAATTTGAATTTCGCGGCAAGACCCATTCAGTTACAGAGCACCACTTCAAAATATGATTCATTGTCGTTATGCAGGCGCTTGCCGCAATCCAGTTTGCCATTTCAAACATCCAAAGGTATGTCTTGATTTTTACAGTACTTCCGGAGTGCCCTTCTATTAGAGGAGCCCTTCTAATACAGGTTTTACTTCCGGAGGGCTTTTCTTCTATTAGAGGGAACCTTCTAATACAGGTTTTAATATATAAAAAATCCAATATTCCAGGAATGCCGATTCGGTGCCAACTGCCGTAACAGCGGCTGCTACTTCTACCACAAACCATCTGCACCAGTTTCTACAGCGCCAGTCGTCACGGCTTCTACTGACGGTGCCGCCAAGTACAAATGGAGCGCCTCTGCTGCCAACTAGTCATCATCATAATCCCCCAACCTATATTTTCTTCTAAATACCTATTTTTTTCCAAATATCTGAAAAATGATTCAAACAACGTGTCTCTCTGTAACTTTTCTTTATTTAGGTGGTAGTCATTTTTCTCTATTTTTTTGTCTCGATTGTCCCCTGAGCCTCAACTCAAATAGAATTGTCTATCCTTCCCGCTATGGCACAAACCTGTTCTTTATATTTATTTCCCTGTCTTCTCAACCCTATTGAACTCCTGTTATCACATATTTACCGTCCCAGTATACTCCACACACACACACACACATAAATGCCAAAATTCATCCAAAGTCCAAAATATATGAAATGTGTGTTATTCTTTTTTCGAAAAAAGTTTCAGGGCCTAAAAAAGGAACATTATGTGATTGATGTTTTGAGACGAGGAGCAGCAATCCAAACAAAACGGTTTCGATGGGAGTGCTCATGTGCTCCTCCTCGTTTGTTTTCTCTCTTGGATCGGTCACTTTTCTGTCTCCTTTCCAATAGTTCTTCCTTGCCTCACTCAAGTGCTTTTCTGCGAAAAATGCTGACCGTTTACCTATTTTCTGCACTTTTAGTAGCTTTTACGATTAGCGGACCTTGCAAAATGTCTCCTCTGACCACATTTTTGACGGATTCTCAACAGGTTAGTATTTTAAAATATATTGCCGTCGAGAGGAATTGAACTCGCGATGATGCACCACCGATGGTTTCCAAAAACAAGCGCTTTCCCAGCTGCGCTACAGCGTCACTGCTTAACTAAGCATTGAAAGTCGAATAAAAAGCATTGAAAGAATAAAAATTCCAGCAAACGCTCCACCAGCTAATCGTCTCCGCTCGTGACGCTGGCGCCAGTGAAGACATGGTGAAAGATAGTATGGATGAATATTTAGCTCAGATTCTGTCACCTGATAGACTTCTGGAGCTTAAAAAAGCCCACGATGAATTCGAAGCCCAACGACGTGGCAAGCGATCGGCGACGCCTTCTGAAAAGCAGGAACCCAAGAAAGTCTTTGATATAATCGACCAATTTACGAGTGATTATCAGAAGTTTTATGAGGAGTCGTCGGCGGTCAGAAATCGTAATCATTAATAAGAATTTAAAAGATATTTTTAATTGTCCGGAAGCTTCAAAATACGGGTTCTCTATGATTCATGATGATAAAGATTTATTTTTATTGCACCTTTCTTTTTTTTTCTTTGAAATCTTCTTATTTCCGGTTGCAGAAAGAATGTCATGAGTCAGCAATTCTGAAAATTGTAACAAAATTCAAATTTTAAGCTCATCGCGCCAAAACATTAGAGCGCATTTGCATGAAAATTCAAAAACTATTTTTTTTGATTCCGGTTTTTGGTGCTCTTTTGCGTTTCTAGGCGGCTATTTCTTCAGCGAATAGGTTGTAAAATAAATCCTGACAGATGACTGTCCCCGTTTTCCGCCCATGTTTGCCCTTTCCCCCCAATTTAGGAGAAATTGAGCATTTTCTATTATTTGTTCATGTTTTTAAGGTATTTTAACCTGGAAATTCAATTTTTCCCCACTAAAACTCCTGAAACGACCTTGAAACATTGCAAAAAGTGACTGATAGACGCTGATTACGGCTAGAACCCAATCAATTTTGTTGTCTGAAGTTTCTAACTAAAGAAGAGAAAAAGGGGATCAAACTGGTTCGTAAGAACAAGGCCGTGGGGCCCGGAGGCTGTCTGCCTTTCCACCGATTATATTTGTCTGCGTCTCCACCGATTTCTATTTCGCCTGTCGTCGTCTTCTTCACCGTCCCGTATCAATTTTGCCCTCTCTGCTTCTCTGCGTCTCCTACTCTCTCGCTCTCTCTCTTCTCCAATCATCGCTATCTGCTATACTTTTCTGTTGTTCCATGCATTTTTCTGCTGGCCAGGGGAAACGGAGTGTGTAATCATCATCATCATCATCATCATCATCACCTACTCTCGCCGCCTGCTTGCTAATATTTAGATATATTTGATTTTTTAGATGCAAACAGTCTTCTAAACAATGAGCATCTCCGCTGCTGACACTGTGTCGTTGACGAGTCGACGAACCATCTCGACCAGCAAGCATTGGGCGGCGATTTTCGATGAGAGAATTTATCAGGTGAGACAAAAAAATTTGAAAAATCTGAAAAATCCATGAAAATCAAGGAAAAATTTGAATTCGCGCGCTTTTTCTCACCGAGAGGACTAGAAAACCAAGCGAAAAATCTCGTCCAGCATTACAGACTTGATTATTCGAGTGACTCATCAAAACAGAAGCTTAAAATTGCGCGAAATGTCGTAAGGTGTTGGCTATTGTACGCATTGCGGACAATATACACTACCCTACGACAGTGTTTGGAAAAATCAAATTCTCGAGTAAAAAATTTTGAAATTTTGAAGATTTATAATTAGAAATACAGATGGAATATGAGTTTATGAGAGATTTTATGAATTGAAATAATTAATAAATTGAATCACTTTTAAAGAAATTTGAGCTGAAAAACAATGATTTTAGCCTAGAAAATCGAATTTCTTATGCTTTTTCACCCCAGAAAGTCAAATTTTCGATAACTGTCGTGAGATGTTGGGTATTGTACGCATTGCGGATAATACACAATACCATACGACAGCTTTGCAAAAATTGAAATTATTATGTGGAAAAAAGCGCGGGAGTTTCATTTTTTTTAGGTTATAACACCATAGCGACAATTACAGTAGCCAAAAACTTTTTTTCATGAAATTCGGGAAAAAAACAATCAAAAATAACTAATTTTAGGTTACGGTAGTTGTCGTTGTGGGACCGTCCAATTTTTTTGCATAAAAAAAATCTAAAAATTCTAATTTCTTCCAGATCTGCAACATTGCTCATCCTGGCCTCCCCATTGACTTCGATGCCGTCGAACACATCCGTTATTTTCTTCAGAGTATCGTCTTTGAGGTACAGTAATCCCCATTTGACCCTATTCTAATCCCCCACCTTCAGCTCATCGAGACACGTGCCACAAGTGTCGCCGAAGTGGACAAGACGGCCGAAAAGCTGTTCGGTTACGGCTTAAATACCATTTGCAAGGTCAGTAGTGTAGCGGATTTAAAGGCGCATGAGCCGGAAAATTTTGAAAAAAAATTTTTTATAGGATGCCTGGGACAACATGCACCAGCAGCTCCAGCACAAACACAAATATCAGAAGACGTTGAAGACGGCGTTGGAAAGTCAGCACAGGCTGGCAGCGGTGATTAAGGTTGGCGGGAATTCCAAAATTCTGAAGTAGAATTCAAAAAAAACCATCAAAAATCGTGTCGCCACCCAAAATTTTCAAAGCATGCGCCTTTAAAAATCTACAGTAGTCTTTTAAAGAGCATGCTTTGAAAATAGATAGGGTCTCGACACGAAATCATGGAAAATAGGTTTTTTGGCCGAATTCGAAGAATTCGTTGCAGAAGAAACGGAACATGCCGCCGCGGCGGCGGCGACGTCTTCCAATCGCCAGACGTACGAATCGGTAGCCGTTGATTTTTTGCGCGACGAGCGTCGCTTCATTCGCGAACTGAACCGAATCAACGTGTTTCGCCGACGCATCGAATCGATTGCCACCTCGGAGAGTGATAAGACGATAGTCGCGAACCTATTCGGCAATCTACACGAGATTCATGACCTCGCGTTGAAAATCGAACGAACTTTGGAAGACGCGATCGAGTTGAACGATACGCAATGCATTGGAATGGGCATTTGGGAGTATGGAGAGGCGTATGAGTTCGATACGTACACATTCTATATTAAGAGGGATGGGAGTGAGATGAATGAGTCTAGACATGCTACTTATGTGATTAATGATACTATCAAGGCGCTTCTGGAGAGTGAACGATTCTCGAAATTGTTCATGAAATCTGGAGAGCATTCTAGCTCCTTGGATGGACAGAGTTTTCGGCTGGCTGTGCAATATGTGCTTCCTCAATTACTTCATATTCCAATTTTCCATATTTATCAATATCATGAATATATCAATGTGAGTTTTGATTAAGAAACAGGGATGCCCGGAACGGAAATTGGAATATTCAGATTTTTAAAATTCTGAAATTCTGGAATATTTCGATCCTTAAAATTTCGAATTATTGGAATATTCGGATTTTTTAAATTCTGAAATTATTTGAAATTCTAGAACATTCGTTTTTTTAAAATTCCTGGTTTCCAGAAAATTCGGAATTTGAAACTTTCGAAATTCCGGTAAATTCCGAAAAAAATGTCCCGGAAAAAGTGGGCGGAGCCCAAATTGCAAACCTGACACGGTGTTTCACATTATCGTGATAATTACCGTATGTAAAAATGGACCAGAACTGTGTGGCAAAACCGTGCCAGACTTGCAATTTAGGCTCCGCCCACTTTTCCAGCGAGATTTTTCCTCGGAATTCCAGAAAATTCCAATTTGGAAAATTTCAATTTTCTAAATTTCGACAATTCGGAAAATTTCGAGTTTCGAAATTTCGAAATTTTGGAAAAATTCTGACTTTCAAAATTCCGTAATTTCGAAAAAATCCGAAGTTTTGGAATATTCCGATTTTGGAAATTTCGAATTTGGAAAATTTAGATTTTGAAAATTTTGGAATTCTGGAATATTCAGGTTTTTAAAATTCTGAAATTCTGGAATATTCGGAATTTCAAAATTCCGGGATTCTAGAAAATTCTGAACTTGAAAACTTCGAAATTCTGGTGGATTCCGAAAACAAATTCATATTTTTCACAGTATCGACAAAACCGTGCCAGGCTTGCAATTTAGGCTCCGCCCACTTTTCCCGAGACATTAGAAAATTCGAATTTTTCTGATGTTCCGATTTTAAATATTCCGGATTTTCGGAATTTTCCGTTTTTCGAAATTTCGGAATTTTGAAAATTTTGAATTTTAAAAAATCGGAATTTCCGAAATTTCACTTTCTCATCACATCGCGAAAAATGCGCCTCTAACAAACCGTAGTCAAAAAACGCGAATTCCGAAAAAAATCGGAATTTCCGGGATTCCGAATTTCCCCGAACCGTTCCGACCATCCCTGGATTCCTATAAAATTTCAAAAAATCAATTTTTCTGAAAATATACGTTTTCAGAGACTCCACCAACTAAGCTCTTCCGAAGAAGATCGTCGGGATCTCAACGACTGCCGTGCCGCCTTCGAACGTGTCGTTGGATCAGTATCCGACATCCCACCAGAGCTCAAAACCCGGATCGCCTCCTTCCTAGACCAACAAGCCAAGAGCGAGAAGATCTACAATGTAAAGCGACTCAACGAGATTCAAACTTCAATCGATGGTTTCGTGGGAAGTCCCATTGGCAAAATGTGCAATGAGCTGGAAGCGGATGGAGATCTTGGAATGATCCGCCCGTCTCTTCAGTTGACAAGCGACATTACCAAGAATAAGAAATGGAAGACAGAGAGATTTGTCTACGTTTTTGATCAATTGATCATCCTTTGCAAACGACACAAGAACTCCCTGAAATTCAAGGATCGCCTCCCAGTGCACTCCATAGACGTCTTCGATGTCCCCGATTCTGAAGTTTTGAACTGTTTTGGAATCGAATCGCACGACAAGTCATCTCTCCCGAAGACTTATCACTTTGTGTGCAGAAATCCAGAGGAAAAACGGCAATGGATGGCTGTCCTGGTGAAGGTCACCACTAAAAGTGTCCTGGACCGTATTCTGGACAATTATGAAAAAGAGGAAGCTAAGAGGATCCCATTGATTGTCCCAGGTCCAGACCAGTATCGATTCTCAGAGCCCGATACAGAGAGTAACATCACCTTTGAAGACTACACGTCTAGCAGCGGAATCCCGGTTATCAAATGGGGTACTGTACTGAAACTAATCGAGAGGCTGACTTATCAC